AGTTTTGAACAGGGTTGAGGAGACTCTTTCACTTTCTTCATCTGTTTGTCAAACACAAGTAGGTTACTCACAGTGGAAACGGAAAAAAAAACAAGCTTTTAAGGGACTATTCAGCCAAGGGATTATTCGAAAAATCCCAATTCAGTCATGTTTGACAAGATTGGAAATTTGAAATTGAGTCTGTTTAATCCCAATTCAAACTCGTTTGGCAATAGAAGACTAGAAGTCGGAACTCCTCAGTAAAGAAACTAAAAAAGATCAAAACAATTAAAATTGAATTTTAGACGAGAACCTGGAAGATCGAACAACTAGGAGCGGCACTCGTGCGCTTTGATGAAGAAGAATATGAGCCCTCTCCCTCTTTTCCTTTCTTTTTCTTTGAGTAGATTCTAATTAGGTGTTTCCAAGAGTAGTTAGACTTAGGGGTTGTTTGGCAACTTCTGAATGGGTAAGTGCTGAACCAGTAAGAGGTCTGAATCATTAAGTGCTGAACCAGTAAGAGGTCTGAACCATTAAGAGCTAGTATATTGCTTAACTATTCAGAGGCAAATGTCTGATCAATTCAGATAACAGCTCTTAACCATTCAGACTCTGTATAATACTTAACCATTCAGAGGCAAATCTCTTAACCATTCAGACATCTGAACCATTAAGAGGCTGAAACAAACAGTCTGAATCATTAAGTGCTGAATCATTCAGACATCTGAACCATTAAGAGACTGAAACAAACAGCCCCTTATTCTATAAATATACAGTCAAATAAAAAATATTTTGAAATTTTTATTATTTAAATTTAAAGTATATTCTTTGAATATCTTTTGATAATTAAGTATTTTTCAAACTAATATTCCTTCCGTCTTAAAACCATCTGCCCGTTTATGTTTACAAGGTTTGTCCGACTTTATTTTCAATTCAATTTATTTGATTGTAGGTGTAAAATTAAAAAAATAATTATATACTCCGTATTTAAAAACTACATTAAAAGTTTTACAAAACAAGAGGTGACAAGACTATATTATTTTATCAAATAACTAACGAAAATAGGTAAAGAAAGTGATTTAAGTTTGACCGTGTGAATAATAATTGAAAAGATAGTTTTAGGACGGGGATTAATTTATAAGTAAATGTTATCTCGAAATTGAGTCTATAAACCTACTAGGGATGGATCTGTTCCTCTAGCAGTCATCTCATTAATTTGAAAAGACTACTTTAAGGAATTAATCATTGTTTAAATGATAAAAAATACTAAAATATCCTTCATTTAACTGTCATTTAATAGCATTTTTACAGAAGACTATTTAGATAATAAACTTCCATTACGAAGAACTACATTGGTAATTACTACTTGTTGAGAATTAATTTGAAAAACACTTTATTAGAAAGGTCTGTTTCAGAAAATTAACTTTTTAATTAATAAATAAGAGTAACATGAGAATTTAACAAGTCCAATAATTAAGGCAAACCGGTTCATGGACATTCTGAATGTCATTGCATGCCTCGATTTTTCTATGGTACTTCGCTCGAAAAATTGAGGCCTCGTAGCCCTAACTTCTAATAGCCTCCCCCCACCCCTCCCCTTGCCCTCATATCATCAGCAATTTTCTACATTGGTCAGGGTAGCAAATCATCAATATGAGGGATGAATGAGGGTAGAGGGGCGAGAGGGTATATGAACCATCAAATTTTTGAATGACTTACCTTCAGAGACTAGGGTCATACTATAGCATTGAATTCAATGTCACTTGAACCGTTCATAATTAAGAAGTGAATTGCACTCTTAACTATTTTCAAGTTCTCAAAATTTTTCTGCACTACACAAATTCAAACTTCATACTTTGTTTGGTTGCAACAATACTAATAATAGAAGTACGTGTTATGTTTTTATGCCCAAAATGTAACTAAAAGTATTTTGATTGAGAACACATCATCACGCGCACGGCTCCCTTCATCGATGGCATAGTCAAAACAAATTCATCATGTGCTCCCTCTCCCTCCGCCTACTTCGATCCATAACAATTGTTGCTCATACAACTTCACCGGGCAACTTGTCGACTTTATTATGCCGCTACCACCATCCCCTTCAAAGATTCACCACCCAATTTTAGGGCACAACGCTTATTTGTCGTCGTCAAAGATTCTCCCACCCTCGTCCTCAATCCATTTGATTGCACCTTTGTCACCCAATCACGATGCTTTAGCAACCGCCATGCACCTCCACCCCTCGCCACATTCATGCCACCCCACCCTACCACCATATCCCTCCCTTTAGGGCTTGTTTGGTTGGAGAGGCGGGAAAGGAATCTGAATATATCCCGCCGTCTAGTTTATTAACATGGAAGGGATGGAACCCAAAATTTTAGTTTCAAGTCACTTTCCTCCCTTCCAAATCAATCCTCCAAATCGGACGGAATATCCTTGTTGGGTTATGGAACCCAAGGGTAGGGAAGAAGGAGAAATGTATGAGGAAGATGATGAGTAATATTGTGTGGTGTAGTGTTGAGCCTCCTTTTTCCCTTCCCCTCCTTTTCCAAGAAGATGGGTATAAATAAGAGTGGAATCAGGGCTAGGGTTTCGTAGTAATAGGCCGGCCTAACAGACTGGGCCGCCCTAAACAACAAATATGCGACTAATGGGCCGACCCAACAGACTAGGCCGCCCATAAATAAATAATTAATATATATATATATATATATATATATATATATATATATATATATATATATATATATATATAAGTAATAAATTTATTACTTATATAAATTTTTTCCCTGGAGGAGCCTCCTTTTTCCCTGGAGGAACAGTCGACCGCCGGGAAATATGGAGGTAGAAGGGCTTTTGACAGTCGACCCCGTGGACCGTGCCGAAGACCACGGTCGACCGTCGGCACGACAGAATGACGGGTCTTCTGGAGATGGATCAACGGTCAAACGCGGCATGGAGGACGGTCGACCGTCCTCAAGGCAGAAACCTGATGAACCAGCGCAGCTATAGACGGTCGACCCCGTGGACCGTTCCACGGATGGCGGTCGACCGTCCCCGAGGCAGAACACTACTGAACCAGCGATGCTACAGACGGTCGACCCCGTGGACCGTTCCACGGATGGCGGTCGACCGTTCCACGGATGGCGGTCGACCGTCCTCTTCCCAGCAAGCAGTGGAGACTTTGGGGCGTAGTCAACGGGAAAGATGCCCAAATGTGAGACTTGCGGACTATGTTACACATGTTACTAGACCACATAGCGGAGAAAGATGCAGGTATCCGCTCTCCTCATATGTCACGTATGAGAAGTTTTCTGATAAACACAAGTGTTTTCTCACGGCACTTGATGAGGAAGTGGAGCCCACGAACTTCAAAAAGGCATTTCAGGATGAGCGATGGCGAAAATCTATGCGGGAGGAGATTGATGCACTGGAAGCTAATGGAACGTGGTCGCTGGTTGCTCCTCCACGTCATAAAAAGCCCCTTGGCTGCAAATGGGTGTATAAAATCAAGCGCGAGTCCGATGGCAGTGTGGAAAGATATAAGGCTGGTTATACTGGGCAATCATCAGGTTGAGGGACTTGACTACAAGGAAACATTTGCTCCTGTGGTCAAGTTAACTACAATACGAACTCTTCTAGCTGTTGCAGTTGCGAAGGGTTGGGAGTTGCATCAGATGGATGTGCACAATGCTTTCCTTCATGGAGATCTTGAGGATGAAGTGTACATGCGACTCCCACCAGGTTTTTCCAATGCTTCTAATGTAGTATGCCAATTGAAGAAATCTTTGTATGGTTTGAAACAAGCTCCAAGGTGTTGGTTTGCCAAGTTGTCTGGAGCTTTGAGGCGCTATGGGTTTGTTCAGTCTGTTCTTGATTACTCCTTATTCTCTTTCGTTGGAAAGAAAGGAGTCATACATGTTTTGGTTTATGTTGATGATTTAATTATTGCTGGAGATAATTCAGAGATGGTGAGCAAGTTCAAGGCATATCTAGGGGATTGTTTTCATATGAAGGACTTGGGGACACTGAAATACTTTCTTGGTATTGAGGTGGCGAGGAGCAGGTCTGGGATATTTCTCTGCCAACGAAAGTACGCTTTGGATATTGTTACTGAAGCCGGATTGTTAGGAGCCAGGCCGTTAGGTGCACCCATGGAGCCAAATCATCATTTGGCTCGTTCCCAAGCTCCCCTTCTGATAGATTCAGAATCATATCGCCGTTTGGTGGGACGGTTAGTATATTTGTCTGTTACACGACCGGAGCTTTCTTATGCAGTGCATACTTTAGCACAATTTTTGAAGGAACCGAGGGAGGATCACTGGTCTGCAGCACTTGGGGTGGTCTGTTATTTGAAGGGATGTCCTAGGCAGGGCATTTTCCTGTCTGCAGATAACAGTCTTCAGCTCAAAGGATGGTGTGATTCGGACTAGGCAGCATGTCCCTTGACACGACGGCCGCTTGCAGGCTGGTTTGTGCAAATTGGGGACTCACCTGTTTCGTGGAAGACAAAGAAGCAGACAACGGTGGCTTGTTCGTCTGCTGAGGCTGAGTATAGGGCTCTTGCGGTTCTTACGTGTGAGTTGAAGTGGTTGAAGAATTTATTGCGATGTCTAGGGGTTGAACATAAGAACCCTATGACTGTTCGCTGTGACAGCACTGCGGCCCTTCACATTGCTGCTAACCCAGTTTTTCACGAACGCACGAAGCATATTGAGATTGATTGTCACTTTGTTCGTGATGAACTTTTACGAGGAGAGATTCGCACCTTGCATGTACCTACGACGCATTAGCTCGCAGATATTCATACGAAGGCGCTTGGGAAGTCACGACTGGAGTTTCTTATTCCCAAGTTGGGCATTTCTTCATTACATGCTCCAACTTGAGGGAGGGTGTAAAAGGAAAGAGAATATTTGGAATATATTTTCGTATATATTAGTTTTGGTAATTTCCTTGTATTAGTAGTTTACTTGTATAGAGATTTGATTTCCTTTCCTTGTTTAGTTAGGATTCTCGACTTGTGAGAACCTATATATACATGCCTTAGTTGTAAATTGTAAACACAAGAAATACGAGAGAGTTTTTCTCCGAATCAATTCTTTCATATATACGTGCAGAATGTGAACTTGACACAACCACCAAATATTCATGAGGTCAACCAAAAATAAATATAGATTAAAAGTATGGAATAAATGTCAAATTAATAACTTGTGTGGCTTAGATTGCAACTCATATGAAACTGTACAGATGACCAAGAAGAAATTGATAGAGGGATTAGAGTAAGAAAGCATAGGTTCAAATATCATGCTTATGGCACACACACACCCCGAACTGAAATGACCATATATAGTTCTGATCAGGCCAGGGACTAGACCCTTTCAGAAAACATCCGTCTACCTTAATCTTCAAGGGCGCATTTCCCACATTCCTCCATTCACTGCTACCCAAAGTCTGTGTCTTTGCCAGTTGGATCTTTGCCAGTCTGTATCAAAACAATGAAGTTTACTTCATATACTCCCAACTGTGTCTCTTTTCATGCACAATAACCAGCTTGTAGGGTGCTTTTGGTTGGAGTGGAGGGGAGGGAAAATGGTTTTGTACCGAGTCCACCCGTTTGGTTCAAAGCATTTCTTCCTTCACCCCAACCAAACAGATGCTTAACGTAAAAGTCTTTAGTCACGAATCACGATAAATTTCAAACTCAACAACAATATATTAACAACAAAATTCAAATGAAATTATGGGGAAATTAAAAAAAGTTGAATGATTGTATCACTGCGATACTTAACAAACAGCATAAAAGAACCGCAGTCACTTGTCAGTCACCTATGCAATGCTCATATATCTTTGCCACAAGGTGGATAAAATCGAGCCCGCAAAACACACTTTTTAAAAAGAGCAACAGGTTGGTTCGTTTTATAAAAAAACACAGTTTTTTTTGCTTGCTAAAATGAGAAAGCAGTTACGTTTATCAAATGTTATCCAAAAGAAGGTTTTAAATTTCAAAGAAAGCCAGGTAACTCATAACATAACTGTTAATTCAGACATGAGAAGAATACCTGATCTTTAAAACCTAAAGAATCTTGCATCAAACTCCGTGAACGGCACCATGTGACGAAAAAGCCCACCGAGCTCATATTTCACTCTCTTAGAGACATGGGTTTGCGGATCATATAAGTACATTCCAAATCTAGTCCCTACAAGTAGCTTCCCCTTATCCATGTGCATTAGAGGCAAACTCCAGGGGTCACTCACTATGACAAATTGCCTCACCCAAGAACTTTTGACACCATATTCCTTCATGATCCATACGTCCATCTGAACATGGACATTCGGGTTATGGGACTGTGGGAAACAACTCAAACATAGGCAAGAGTCCAAAACACTCAATTCTTTCCTCTTCTTCTTGTAAGATGCGCCGACGGGCACTGGAATCTGCAAAAATTCCTCCTTCCCAAAATGAAAGGCCCTTATGTAGGTCAGACCACACCAGTGACTAGACCCATTCAGAAAGCATCCATCACCACTATTCAGGTCCCCAAAGGATGGATTGTCCACACTCCTCAATTCATAGGTGCCCAAAGTTTGTATCTTTGCTAGCACATTATTATTAGCCCCAAACTTACAAAAAAACATGAGAACCTTGAATTGTCCTGTCACCAGGCAACACCCCAGTTTACAATTGTTTATAAAATAACCCCAGTTCAGTTCATACGGATTATGGACATCCACACACTGGCCAGTGAGCAAATTGCATACAAAGTATCTTCCCATCTTACTTTCCAAACAAACAACCCCATTGCAATGAGACCTCGGATACCATAGCTCCAATGAGTCAACTTTTGGTTGAACCCTGATCACACTATCAACACCCAGAATACAATTACCGAATTCATCGTCATATAGGGTCTTTTCAAGCTCAAGCAAGTTGAAAGTAAACACCCCACCGATATGTCGAGTGTTCTTGTAAAACAAGATGGTAGATCGGGACGCATTGCAATGGAGGCGGTGTGAAGAGAAATCTGGATCGACAACGATGTGATACCATTCTTTGCAAACAAGCTTACAAGCTAAGCACGTCTTAATCGGAACTCTGCCCAGAATTTCCCTTAATATGGCAGTAGGGATTCTAGAGAATGGCTGGTACTCTTTGAGTTTCTCCATCTGCCGCTCAGACACAATTAGATTACTCACAGCGGAAATTGAAAACAAGATTGCAAGGGATTATTCAAAGCCAAAGGGGAAATGCAAAAACAAGGTTCCAAGCGATTATTTGGAACATTCCAATTCAATTATGTTTGAAAAGATTCTAAATTTGGAAGCAAGGAGAAGATTATCCGGGCGTTACTGTGGTAAGGGTAAGGAAGGTTTTGTTTTCCGGAGTACCTCCAAACTCGAGAAGCAGAGGGAAAGAAAGAAACTAGACCTGTGCAAATATCCTGGTGGGATCCGAGCCGGACTTATACAATTTATTAGCCCATTGGCCCAGCCCGGATTTAATGGGCTAAACTCTGTACCCATACCCGCCCACCTTAGCGGGTCGAACTGCCCACCGGGCCGCCCGGCCCGGATAAAACATCAAAAAAATCTTTTTTACACAAAAAAATCAAAAAGAAAATATTAAACTCGTTTTCAAATGTTTAAAATAAAATTATCACTCGCCACATTTACATAGAAAACATAATAGAAATATTGTTACATAATTAATAAACCCATCATACAGATTCATTAAAAGACTATTGATTTTTGTTTAAGAGAGGTGAGTGATATGAACTATTACATATGAATTAAAGAAAATTTTAAAATTTATATTGTCTAGGTAATTAATAATAAAGTAAAAGTATTTAATGAATATGGGCGGGCCTGTTGGCCCGGATGGGCTAAAAGTAACTTCCAGATCCGCCCAAATACAATTCGGCCTTGGACCGGCCCGCCCATGTGGGTATTAAAGATTGTCCATATCCGCCCATTTTAAAGGGCGGGTTGGGCGGGCCGGACGGGCCGACCCTTGTTTGCATAGGTCTAAGAAATACACATGAAAATTCAAATTTGGGCTTCAAAATTTTATTTTTTATAATATAAATATGCATCTTCTAAAATTAAATTAATAAAATTTAAATATTTAATTATTTAAAAGAGTTAAAACAAGAATAGTTCCTTAAAAAAATATAATCATTATAAAAAATTGCATTCATTAAATAAAAAAATTACATTCATTAAATAAAAAATTACCTTCATTATAAAAAACTACATTCATTAAATGAAAAATTGCATTCATTAAATAAAAAAATTACATTCCTGAAAAATAAAAAAATACCTGAATAATAATTAATTTTAAAAAAAGATAATAGATAAAGAGAATTTTGTATTTGTGTTGAATTTTGAAAAAAATTAATTTAATTTATAGAGAAGAAAAGAGAAAAAATAGGGAGAAGAAAGAAGGATGAAGGCGTTATAACACTTTCAAATCACGTCAAAAAATTGACGCAGGAGTTCTAGTGCAACTATAACGGGGGAGGGGCAGTATTTAACGCCCCAGACATCAAAAGGCTAATAACGCCGCTCGGTGTTACAGTTATTACCACTGGTCTAATTAGGGTTAATGTGTTACTTCTTGATGATTATCTAAGAAGACATTGAGGTAAAGAACCAAATTCAGCTTCCCATTCGCGAAGCGTCACTGTCCGCCCTGTTTGATTACCTTGCTGCTATGCTCAATTGAAGAACAGTGCTTCGTTCTCCCTCCTCGCGTCCAGCTTCAATCGAAGAAGAAGAGGAAGCCTATACAGTCTTCGTTGTCTTTGCTTTAGGTCCCCAATCGAGCCAAAATGGAAGAAAACCCCAATCATAGGTCTCTGATTCAATTAAGAATGAGCGCTTTTTATTATAATTATATCTGAAGAGAAGGAGCATTTATTTGTTTTATTTGTTTAAATACTCATTTGTTTCAATTTAAAGCTACTACTCAAATTATTAAATTGCTTATAAATTTAGTAATACATCATAAACTCTTTATTTATAGAGGAAGGAAGTATTATTTTATTAAATATTATTTTTCATGTATGTGTATGTGTGTGTCTATATATATATATTGACTTTTCAAATATGCGTGAATCACTGGTTGACCACATTAACCACCGGTCCGTGATTTGGTACTAAAAACTATTGATCGAACTGACTTGCTTTTTTAAGTTTTTAATCTTTGATTCTTCAATCTTTTCCTTTTGAAAATATTTTTCCCAATTAATATTCATACGATCAAAATATAGTCACTTTCTTTACCTATTTTTGTTTGTTATTTGATAAAATAATATAATCTTTTCCCTCCTTATTTTGTAAAACTTTTGATGTAATCTTTAAATATATAAATTTAATTTTTTTATTTTACACCTACAATCAAATTAATTGAATTGAAAAATAAAATCAGTCAAACCTCGTAAACAAGAATGGAAAGAACGTTTTAGGACAAAAAAACAGTATAAAGTTAAAATTGAATAGTTATTTAGAACATCGGCATTGGTTGAAACTTGAAACCGTTGAACGACTTGGGTGGCGGAGGAGAAAGAGTTCTCACATAGATGTTGGGAACATTAGAACTAGGGGTGGGCACGGGCCGGTCCGAGCTAAGATTTGAATAAACCGGACTCAACTTGTTTTTTTAAAACAGTCCGGGCCGGAACGGGTTTTCAAAATTTTAAAATTGAAACCGGAACTAACCCGGCTTGTTTGAAACGGGCCGGTTCCACGGGTCAACGGGTCTGAACCTATCATGATACTAATCTTAAAAAAATAAAGGGATAATAAATTAATTTAAGTCATCCAACATAAAAAAGAGGCGTAAATGAAAATAAAACAATGACAAAGAGGGGCATGAGAGTAAAGTTTACACCCCATGATCATTCAACAACAATAATAAAAAAAAAGACAACATATTTTGGCATTATAATGTCAATGGGTTCTAAAAAGAATAAAATTCACAATTTTCATGGGTTCCAACTCTCTGACTATGAAAGGTTTTCTTACTTTTCTGCCTGCGATTGGAAGGACCAAAAAATTGAAGGGCTTAGGCGGGTATATTTCTGTAAATCCGTATATTTAGTAAAAATAATATTAAAAATAATATTGGGATTTAAAAAAACGGCCCGGTCCGGGCTTCATATAATTTCAAAATGAGGAACCGGACCGACCCTAAAATTTGTAAGGACCGGACCGACCCGGACCGTTTGAAATTATCGAAAAGAGGACCCGACCCTAACCCAAACCGAACCTAGAGGTCCGGTTCCGACTCCCGGATCCTGGACCCGATTGCCCACCCCTAATTAGAACGATGTGTGGAATAAAAATGGTCAATAACTTCATGACACGTGGCATTCTTTTTTGGATTACTTAGAATTAATTTGAAAAATTAGGTTGAATTAATTTGAAAAGGCTAAAATTCACCATTGGTCCTTCAACTTTATCAGTTGTGCACGATTGGTCCTTCAAGTTTCAAAAGTCCATAAATAGTCCTTCAACTTTATGAGTTCTGCACCATTGGTCCTTCAAGTTTTAAAAGTCCATAAGTAGTCCTTCAGGTGCAAGTCAGCCCTCCATATGAAGTTCTTTTGACCGTAAATATTAAAAGTTAAACGAAATACTAGTTTCATATAATACGAGTAAATTCCATTAGGTACGACTACTCCGTATTATATGGAGCTAGTATTCCAGACTATTTATGCACTTTTAAAACTTGAAGAACCAATCGTGCATAACTCATAAAGTTGAACGACTATTTATGGACTTTTAAAACTTGAAGGACCAATCGTGCACAATTGATAAAGTTGAAGGACCAATGGTAGAGTTTAGCCTTTGAAAAATAATTTAAAATAAATTTGTTATTTGGCTATGCCTATCAATTAATTTGGCACCTCCCTTTCTTTGGATGTCTAAAAAGTAATTTAACACTTCTTCATGGCTGGGGTAAAAGGGCTTATCAAGTGACCAGGCAACATGTGAGTTCTTTAAAAAAAAACAATGTTTTCCCCACTAAAATGACAAAGCAGATTATCAAATGTTATCCCAAACAAGCTCATATACTTCAAAGAAAGCCAGCCAATTCAACTTGTAACATAAATGTTGATTCAGACATGAGAAAGAATACCTAAATCTTCAAAACCGAAAGCATCTCGCATCACACGCCGCAAACGGCGTCATGGAATTAGAAAGCCCATTGAGCTCAAACTGCACTAACTTAGAAACATGGGTTCGCGGATCATATAAATATAATGAACTCCCACTCTTTAAAAGTATCGTTCCGTTATCCATCTGCGCTAGAGGCACGGTCAACGCATGAGTCCCTATGGCAAGTTGCCTCACCCAAGAGTTTCTGACACCGTACTCCTTCATCATCCATACGTCCTGAGACCTGAAGAACGGTCTCAAACACAGGCAAGAGTCAAAAACAAACAATTCTTTCCTACTCCAGACCCTACTGTAGTGGGATTCAACTGGGTTGTTGTTGTTGTTGTTGTTCCTATGAGGTGCGCGGCGGATGATATCGTCCGGTAATGGGATTTGCAAAAACTCCTCCTTCCCAAAATGGAACGACCATATGCAGGTGGGCCCACGCCAGTGACTAGACCCGTTTAGAAAGCACCCGTCACTCATATGGTTAAAGGGCACATTGCCCACAATCCTCCATTCACCATTACCCAAAGTCTGTATCTTTGCCACCAAAATCTCATACACCGTGTCGTAGAGAAACATGAGAACCTTGAATTGGGCTGTCACCGGGCAGCGCCCCAGTTCACAATGCTTTATAACACAAGGAGGCTTCTTGAGTTCATGGAGATTTTGGACATTTACACTGCGGCGAGTGAGCAAATGGCACACGACGTATTCGCTCGTCACTGTTTCCAAACAAATAGCCCCATCGCAATGAGACCTCAGATACCACGTCCCACATGTCCCACGGGGGGTGGCAATGTTTGGTTGAACCCTAATCAGATCACCAACACCCACAACACAATCGCCTGAATCGTCCACATCCAAGGCCTTTTTCAGCTCAACCAAGATGAAAGTCGTCCCACTACCACCACCACCACCACCTGAGTCATTATATAACAAGATGGCAAATTCGGAGGCATTGAAACGGCGGTGGAGCGAGGAGAATTCTGAGCTTTTCACAATATGATACCATTCTTTGCAAACAAGCTTACAAGCTAAACACGTCTTGATCGGAACCCGAATCAGAATTTCCCACAATAAGGCAGAAGGGATTTCAGAGAAAGGCCGATACCGCTTGACTTCATTCATCTGTTCTTCAAACAAACACAGGTAGATTCAATTTAGATTTTTCACAGTGGAGATGTAAAACAAGGTTTGAATGTATCAATTAATCCACCAGCAGTAAATTGAGGTGAAAATTGAGAGAAAATTAATCGGAATTAACTACAGAAGCCAAGAATAACATGATGAAAATAACCAAACCTTCAAAGAAATTGCTTTTTTCTGCGCAAATGCTTCCTAATATGTATCGAGCATCATATTAATTATACGGAGTATATATTAGTATTTGGAAATTGGAATATTTCAATTCAATCACGTTTGAGGAATCACAATTTGGAAGAGAGTCGGATTTCCAATTTCAATCCAGACTCGTTCGGCAAGAGAATTGAAGAACTAAAATTGTGTACAAAAAACAACAATTCATCAAAATAATAGAGAGAGAGAGATCACCCTACATCTGGGCCTTGGCAATTTTTTTTATTTTACCCAAATATTTGGTTTAAGATTATTACACCAATTTAATTAAAGTATTTTAGTATCTATATAATTCTCATCATAAAATTGATTATTTTTATCTCTCTTGACCTCTAGTGAACCCCAAACTCATCTCATCCCTAACGTATCATGCACATCTTTCAATTGAGCGCCTAAATTTTCTTTTGACTTTATGTTCAACTTTTTTACTCAAAATTTGGTTAGTGCAATTGGTGAGGTTGCACGGTGCAGGATGGGCCGCGTATGAAGTTTACCAGGAAGTTAGAGAAGTATGAACAATTAATTTTAGAATCGAAACACTATAACATATAACTGATCCAATTGAATTGATGTAACAACATTACACCACACAAAAATTGGTGTAAAATTACCTTCCGTGTAGTATAATATGCATAGTTTTAAAAATTGGACCGGACCGGCCGATTTGGCCCATGATCGCTTTTTTCTTCCACAAATGTCCTAAAAATATTTACTAAAGAGGGTTTAGAACACATGACCAACTTGCGCTCTTATTAGGCTATCCACCATCTATGTTACAATCTCTTTTGTTACATAAAGACATTATTGGTTATATATTTTATTCTAACAAGGCTTTTTTTTTAATTTTTAAAAATTTTGAATATATAATGTTGAAACTGTGATTCAAACTCTAAAATGTTAATGCAATTGTAATATGAACTTCATATCACAAAACTATTAACTTGTTTAAATATTTTTAAAAAAATTGTGTAAATTATAAAACAAAAAATATCACCTCTTATTTATAATTTTTTATTTGTTTAAATATCCATTTGTTTCAATTTAATGCTACTACTCAAATAATTAAATTGCTTATAAATTTAGTAATACATCATAAATTATTTATTTATAGATAAACGAAGTATTATTTCATTAAATATTATTTTTCATGTGTGTGTATATTGAATTTTTAAATATGCGTGAACTATTGGTCCGACCAGTGAACCAGTAAATCAATATCTTAACCGGTTCGGTCCCTGGTCCGGTTTTGAAAACTACTGTTTTAACATCCATCTTGTTGTTGTGTGTAGAAATAATATACTCCCTATTTGTTTCCATTGTGTAAAAGTTTTTTTTTTCTTATACAAGATTCAAATGTCCAATTTTACCCCCCTTTGGGGTGGGTCTATGAAGTCAAACCAGACAGAAAAGTGGAGAAGCCCTGCGTGTAGGGCTGTGCATTATTCGGTCCAAACCCATTACCCTTAGTCCAGTGACTCCAGATTCCAAGTAGCAAATCCACAGGATTGGGGGGGTTCTCCACTTGCAGTCCAGTCGCCGAAGAAATCTCAGAGTAGGACACGCACTCATGCAGCACTCCCGTTCCGCCGAACCCTGCGACAAATCGCAGCACTCCGCGAGTCGTCCAATCGCAGACTCCGACCAGTCGTCCACCGGTTCCGCAGGTACGCAGTCGTCCAGTTGTAGACAAGAGAAGCGTGTGTAGTACATCAAGAGAAGCGTGGAGACTCACTCGCCAACTAACACTGCTCCTCCATTTCACAAACTCCCGTTGTTCTTTCTTTCTTCATCGGAGTTCTTAATTTTCACCTTTCAGCTGCCAAACTTGGTGGGTTTTGTTTCTATTTCTATAATTTTAGCCAGGGCATTGTTTAGATTAGGGCTTTGCATCATGGTGGTATGTTAGATTAGGGTTTTTAAAAAAAAATAGATTAGGGAATGTTTGTATTTAAAAAAAATAATCTAAAATAGGACATTGTTTGTTTAGATTAGGGCATGTTTGTGGTATTATTGGTTTTTCCTTTGTCTTACATGTATTAGGTTCTGTCTTATTTATGATGGGTTTTGCTTTTATGTATGCCTAGGCTCCATGGCTTGTGTTACAGAGGTATGTGCTTGTTATCTTTTGGTGAACTCATGGTTCTTTATATATGGCTCGGGGAAACATATAACTGTTGAATGACATTTAGATATGCAAAGCCTCTTGGAGTTGAGGGGTTTGTGTGTGTGTGTGTGTGTGTGTGTGTGTGAGTACTGAAGTGATTCTGAGCCGTACAGAGAGAGTAATGAGTACTGCAGTGATTCCTCCTCCTCCTCTGCTCTTAGATCGAGGGCCTAATTAACCAAGATCTTGATTATAAAAAAAAAACTATTTGCAGATGACGTAGTACGGATGCCCAGAGTTGGAGATTTTTATCATAACCTTTACTGAAGGCCAGGTCTTCATCAACGCCAAACAGGTCTTAATGCCAGAACTACTCTTTAATTACTCCGTATATATGATGCTAAAAGCTTTAATTTTTCCCCCCTTCTTCCTTTTACCAAACCTTCAAATCTTAAATGTTCCATGGTTTCAACATCCATCTTGTTGTTGTGTGGAAATAATATACTCCCTATTTGTTTCTACTGTGTAAAAGTTTTTTTCTTATACAAGCTTCAAATGTCCAATTTTGCTCCGATCTAATGTTGAAGAGGAACCAGTACTTATTAAGTTTTATACACTCGGTATAGGAGGAAGTCATACCTAAATCCTTTTTCTTTCTTTGTATATATATGTGTGTGTGTGTGTGCGTGTGTGTGTGTGCATGCATGTATGTGGCCTAGTCGTTGCCTAGACGTGCGTCTAGTTGCCTCAAAAAACACCTAGTTGCCTCAGCGATATGAAGGTACATTAGCGCCTCGCCTCGCCTTGCTGCCTTACAAACTATGCCAAGAACTAATTTTCAGCTCCTAACTAGATTTGTTTGCCACGACGTATTAAGAATATATTTGAGAAGACTAGTTGATAAGCTAGCTTGCTAAAGATGATGGGCTAACTAAAAACTCAGAAGCACTGCTAGAAGTTGAAAAGTTAGTTATCTCCAAAAAAAATTGAATTCTGTTTCGTGACAAACCAATAAGCTAACTTATAGTTTTAAAAATAAAATTAGCTAGCTTATAAATGAATAAGCTTGTTGAAGTTGCTTCTCATCATAAACTAGCTTATCTTCTTTCTTATATTTTAAACAAAGGTACTTACCAAACACTGCCTAAAAAATCTAAGATAAGGTAGCGTGTCAAATAGAGCCATAACCTAGCTGATAGCTTAAAGGCCAAGTCAATAAATTAAACGAACTTAAATTTTTGCACGGGTTTGGCCAGGAGCTTCTGCAAGAGTGAGGTTCTCCTTGTCATGACGAGCTCATAAAACTAACTCAAAGCTAAAAAAGTGGTTAGGAGATGAAAAGTGTTGTTGGTAGTTGGAGAGCTCGAAAACTGAAAATAAGTGTTTGATATAACCAGCTCATACGCTAAATTATATGTAAGCCTAGATAAAATAAAATTAAAATAAGCTAGATCATCTTTTTGTAAGCTTTTTGTATTAAATATGTGGAAAACCATTTCCTTCCCAATTCAGACCGAAAAAAGAGGGGAAACCCATTTTGAACACGAAGACTTCAGGATATTCTCATTGTCAATCTTAGATAGCATTTGTATTCGAACTGGGTGTCCTTTGCTTTCTTTACAGCAACCAAACATAAAAATCATAGAAAACTATTTTTTCCTCGCTAATTTCTCTAATAGCCAAACAAAAGTAAGATTTTTATTTTTTTAAATAATTTTATTTTGTTTCCTCCATAATTCCTTAAACCAAACATAGTGTCAATAAGGCATTAGATGGTGAAAATAAAGGAAGAAAATTTCAAGCTACATACTCCTTATCCACACGGTTAGAAATGATGGCACTTTGCTCCTTAGAGAAGTAGAGCACAAATAGAAGACTAGAAGCACTTTCATTGTCAATGGAACCTTTTCTAATCACAAAATCTCCTGAATGGTTATCAGTTATCACAGTACATAATGCAAGAAGAATCTCCAATATTTCATCCATTCTAAAAGTTCAGTATAAAAAAATTAACAAATAAAAATTATGACACAATATAAGACAACCATTTAAACATAACAAAAAAATTGATCACCTTAACTTTTTCCATTGATTTCCTTGGAACGCATTTAACGACTCGACCTATTAAAACAAAACATATAAATGTAGTAGAACATAAAGATTATTGTGTACTATCTGAAATTTAACTAGTATAATAATTGTTGCAATTTAAACTCAAAACCAAGTTAAGAGTTGCTATTAAGCTCAAATCTCAAACATGTATAAGTGATGTGGTATCTTACCAAATTTCAAAAGAATTTGTCCTAGCAGAATCTGATTTGAATGTCAATGTGCTCATGAATTCGCTCTTTGAAGTACAAGAGGCTATGGTTAGGCACCACAGAGCAACTTTTGCAACATAATTCAAATAGTACTTTCCCAAATTTCCAGCACTAACCACGGTTACAATATCAGCTCGTAGTGCTTGTAAGGACGCGATATTCTTCACATGAAAATCACCACTTGACCAGTCACACATGAAAGATAGACTTTGTGCTAACGACATTGAAATCATACTCACATTTTTCTGAATTGCAGCCTTAATGCGATAAACCATATCTTCTTCTTTCATTGTCAAACAAGGACAACCAATGCATACACCGCAATGTTAGGTGGAGGTGAATTTCCTCCAACATCACCCAAAAAGAATTCTCCCAATTGTGCCCCAGAAACTTTTTGTGAAGCAATTATTGAAGCACAGGAGAGTCCATGTCCATTTATCCCAACATTTAATGACTCACAGATATTCATCTTAGAACAATTAACACATATCCTGGTAAGTGCTTGTAATCGACCACGCCACTGAAAGTTAAACAAGAAAAATGGAGGCTCGTGAATTCTATATTGTAAGACTTGTATAAGAAAAAATGTCATGAAACTCACGAGAGGTTACTCAAGAATGTGAGCTCCTCATGATCGCAAAGATTTGACATTTTGCGACATCCATCCACAACCGGTACAACAGTATCAAGAAAAGCCCCGCCTCTATCTTTGTCCACAGGTATGTCCAAGAAGTCGTACGAACCATTTGTACAAAGCTCAATCTTATCCTATGTAAACACAAACAGGGCATTTTAGATTAATCTAAATAAACAATGTCCTATTTTAGATTTTTTTTAATACAAACATTCCCTAATTTATTTAAAAAAACCTAATCTAACATACCACCATAATGCAAAGCCCTAATCTAAACAATGCCCTGCCTAAAATTATAGAAATAGAAACAAAACCCACTAAGTTTGTGTTTACATAGGATAAGTTTGAGCTTTGTACAAGTGAGTCGTACGACTTCCTCGACCTGTGGACAAAGATAGAGGTGGGGCTTTTCTTGATACTGTTGTAGCGGTTGTAATGTTTGCGATCCTGAGGAGCTCACATTCTTGAGTAACCTCTCCTGAGTTTCATGACATTTTTTTCTTATACAAGTCTTAGATAGAGAATTCACAAGCCTTCATTTTGCTTGTTTAATTTTCAGAGGCGTGGTCGATTACAAAGCACTTACTAGGATATGTGCTAACTCTTCTAAGATGAGTGTCTATGAACCATTAAGTGTTGGGATAAATGGACATAAGTTCTTCTGTGCTTCAATAATTGCTTCACAAAAAATTCCTGGAGCACACTTGGGAGAACTCTTCTTGGGTGATGTTAGAGCTATTTCACCTCCACCTAAGTTTGCGGTGTATGCCATTGGTTGTCCCTCTTGTTTGACAATGAAATAAGAAGATATAGTTTATGACATCAAGGCTGTAATTCAGAAAAATGTGAGTGTGATTTCAATATCGTTAGCACAAAATCCAGCTTTCTTGTGTGACTTGTCAAGTGGTGATTTTCATGGGAAGGAGATCGCGTCCTTACAAGCACTACGAGCTAATATTGTAACTGTTGTTGGTGTTGAAAATTTGGGGAAGTACCACTTGAATTATGTTGTAAAATCTGCTCCCCGGTGCCTAATCATAGCCTCTTGTACTTCAAAGAGCGAATTCATGAGTACATTGACATTCAAATCAGATTCAGCTTGGTTTTGAGTTTAAATTGCAACAATTATTATACTAGTTAAATTTTAGATAGTACACAATGTTATATAATCTTTATGTTCTACTACATAAATACGTTTTTGTTTTGATAGGTCGAGTCGTTATATGCGTTCCAAGGAAATAAATGGAAAAAGTTGAGGTGATCAATTTTTTTTGTTATGTATTAATTGTTGTCTTATATTGTGTCCATAGTTTTTATATGTTTAATTTTTTTATATTGAACTTTTAGGAGGGATGAAAACATAGGAGATTCTTCTTGCATTATGTACTGTGATAACCATTCAGGAGATTTTGTGATTAGAAAAGGTTCCATTGACGATGAAAGTGCTTCTAGTCTTCTATTTGTGCTCTACCTCTCTAAGGAGCAAAGTGCCATCACTTCTATTTGGCATGCAATATGAATATGTGATGACTAATTTGAGGCTAACCATATTATGTTCTGTGTTGTCTTCCTTCATATTTCTTTCCATTGCCACTTGTCCTGAATTTACGTTGTTGCTTTGCGTTTCAACTACACCATCCAAGAAGCTGAAACTTAGTCAAGGTAAGGAGTTATTCAAAACCCCTAATGGCAATACTCTCTTTATTCCCATATCAGGTGGTCTCTATATTTCATGGTTATTTAGAGTCTTAACTTCCAAGTTGGAAAATCCTCATATATAATTGATTGTGAGGAAAGCTTTGTAGAATTCAAAAAAAGGAATCCTTGCTTTGTTTTGATTGTATAAAAATATATATGCACTTGTAATTCTGTTTTCGGCTTTTGTGCAGGAAGCGATGATCTTGAAAAGGTTTGCATTTAACTGCATTATGTCGTATTTCTATATACTGCCAAATCTACTCAATAATGCTTATAACTTGTTATTTTATAGTACCTTGTCATTCTTGACTTGATGCTTGTTAACAAATATAAGGGGTCCAACAAGCCTCTACAGCCATTATATTCCGATGTTATGCGACAAGCTGGCAGGTAGTTTACCTCTTATATTTATATCAACCTTTGGGTGATGATGAGTATTTATTTTTATTTGTTTTTGGGCACCTTAATGAGCTTTGTTTTCATTAGTTTTTTCTTTGTGTTTGGTTCTTGATGTAGTTCCGAATCCCATATTACTTCAGACCTCACTTATATCTTCTTTGCGTGGCTCACCAAAGAGCAAGCTATTAAGTTGATTTGTGAGTTCATTACTCTTTTTCCCTTTTTTATTTACTTCATGAGGACTTCTTTGACAAATATGTTGCATTCTAGCATGATGCTGATCTTTATAATCCCAAAGTGAGAATTCATTATGCTTTTTACTTTTTTTAGAGTGGTACCTTCTTATAGCGAGAAGCTGAGTTTCCACATTTGAAAGACTCGCCTTAAGTACCCCTCTAGACTCAAGTGGAGATCCTTACCTTGTACTTCCTTCGTCCATTAATTTTCTTCCCACTTTCCTGTAGGACTGTTCCAGTTTAGGCCCGGACCAAAAAAATCGACAGAACTGGACCATTAGGTCTAGACTGAACTTGGACCGAATGGATTTTGGGTTGGTCTTTGGTCCAATAAATTTTGGTGTTCGGGTTTCAGTCTGGTCCAAACCCGAAATGGTTTAAGTTTGGACCGAATGGACCTAAAAGACCTTAATATTAAAACTCTACTTTTTATGTTCCGTATTACACTTTGATGCTCTGTTTTAATAGATATCTTAATTTATTTAATTAAAAAAGTTTTTTATTAAGTAATTTTAAAAAAATAATTAAAAAAAAGTTTTACATTAATTTTTATGATTCTACATAGATGTAGTCCATGCTGTATATCTATTTTTAGGTGGCCTGTTTTTAATTTTTTTTCTATTTGCACGGTACAAAATAGAAAGCTTAAAAATATATTTAATTGATCAAAATAATTAAAAATATACTCCTCCGTTCCAAAATAAGGTTCACAGTTTGACTTGGCATAAAGTTTAAGGTTAGGAAAAATATGTGGTTGAAAGTGATGTAGAGGCAGTAGAGGAGTAAGAAAATTTGTTAGCCACTCACACCTTTTCATGAAAAGGAAAGATGAGGTTTTTTTTGGGACAGAGGAGTATATTTTTATTCGGTTTGGACCGGTTTGATCATAAATATTTCGGTTCGATACGGTCCAAACCCAAATAGATTTAGGTTTGGTCTTCGGTCTGTGAGTTTATTCAATTCGGTCTTTGATCCGGGTTCGGGTCTGTCTAGTCCTGGACCGATGAACAGCCCCCTACTTTCGTTATTTGTTTGTTCATAAATTTTCTTCCCATTTCCTATTTTAGTATATTTTTTTAATATGAAATGCCCTTATTCTTCCCCCAAATCTTCTCCGTCCATATAATCCCCTCCTTCCCCCCCTTCCCCCCAAAAAAAAAAAAACTACTCCCAAATCATATATACCTTCCTTGTCCTTTTCTTCATTTTCAATTGTCATCCCATGGTTGGTCTATTCCTCCCTCCTTTCGTTGTTCTTATTCCAAGTTTCATTTTCCAAATGAAGCAACCATGGAGATTTAAGCTTAGACAGTAATTTGAGGGAGTTAATTACTTTTTATATGATTTAGTTTTCAACTTTACAGGTGATGATCGTGTGTTCGAAGTATCCCCAGAGGGGGTGTATGTGCCTCCAAAATCTTGTAATGGCATCGCTTGATGATCTTTTAACATAGTGGAGGACTGAAGTTAATTGTTTATGCCTGGTCAGTGTATGAATGGTTTAATACTAGTTGCTCAAGATATAGCATGTAGGGTTTTACATGTTCGGTCTGGGTGTGATCCTCACCTTATTAGGTCCGGTATTTGGTTCATGCATCGGTTCGGCTGTTTTGGTCTGGTTCGGGTTTGGATTGACACACCCTGGTAGTAGGGAAGTTTGAAAAAGCATCAAATTCAAATGTATTCAAGTGTATTTGTCAGTAATATCATACAAGACTCTGCGAAACACATGTAAAATGTATTGTAGTGAAGTTGATATGCTTCCAAATATATACTAAGAAATAGAAATACTTGGTCAAGCTTGTGAAACTAGGAGTGTAAACAAACCGAATCAAAGCGAATATCAAAATATTTAAATTTGTATTTGTTTAATTTTTTTTGAATACGAATACTTAACGAATGCCTAAATGAATATTTGAATAATCATACTCTGTAATTTATATAATGGGCCAACAAAATTTTTGAACCATTTAACTTATGATACTTCTTATACTATATCTAAATCCATAAATATATTTTTGTATCTTACACAAATTATATTTTATAAAATATAACTATTAAAAATTATATGCTTTAGATTTTCGTATTACGTGAAATCGTTGAATTCTTAGTAATTTAAATGCATTTTATATTATGAATACAATATAATTGATGTTAAAAACATGGTTTGTGAGTATATACATATATTCGAATATCATCAAAGATCCAATATACCCCTATTTGTATATGAACTTGTTTAATATTCGAATCAAAAATAATATTTGAATTTAATTTGTATTTTAATAATGTGAATATGAATCATTATATTCGAATATGAATTACGAAACGAATCTAAAGTATTTGATATGTTAACTAAAGTGGGTCTCACTGAAATTTGGGCATGGATCACTCGGGTGGAAGAAAAGAGATCTTAGGTGAGGGTTGGATCCTAAGGATGTGGAAAAAGTATTTGATACATTTTTTGATTTGTTCTTTAGCTAGGTTTCTCATCATCTTATACAATATAATGGGTATTTTAACGGATTCTCGCACAGAACCAAGTTGTAGTGTGTAATTTATGGGAGCGTATGCTCCAACAACAGTCCAGTAGAATCTCATAATAGCATGATCTAGATATCACCTCTCCCTTATGTAATGGGATCACCACACTTTCCCCCCATTCATTAGTTATCCTTCACGAACCTTACATGCTCGAGATCTTGGGCTTTCTCCTTCCGCGCTTTTGCTAGCTAAAATAGCCTCTTATCCCCCACCCTGCTCTTCCAAGTCCTTATAAAGGGGGGGTTCAAAGGCTGCATTTTTCGCCCCCATAACCTCTAATTTCGCTTTCTTGCGGGCAACGGTATACTCTACTTTTAAGGACACCCTAGCCTCCGCATCACTACAGTCCACAAACTTCTGATATGGATGAATGGAAGGGGTACATACATTAATCAAAAAGTCATCAAGACCCCCTAATGGAACTACACAGGAGAGTGAAAACTCAAATTCTCTCAGTACGCAATGTTTGTTAAGTCGTACAAAAATGTAATGCGTAGAAAATCAGACGCATCACTAATGTAAATTTACAACAAAAACATACACTCCGTTTGATTACAATTTAATACTAATTCCATCCTGGTTAATCAAATATTACCTTTTTCTGGCTTTCCAAACGAACTGTCATCTAAAGAGAAACCAGCCATGGAGCATTTTCTTCAAAAAAAAAAACCACATTTTCTTTCATCATTTTTGCAGAGAAAATACCGGGTTTGGTATGTATACATCTTCATCTTCAATGGTATCAAAACCTAATACATTCTTGTTGAGATGGTTTTAGCGTTGTTGGAATGTACGGGCATCTTGAAGGAAAATGAATAACCCCGAAGTTTGGTTTAAAGAATGTCGAAGGGCAGGATTATAGATTGTCTTTAAACCACTTCAAGGCACTATTTGCAAGTGACCTGCAATCACAATTTAATGGCTTTAGTTTAAGTAATGCCTCTCTACTTTCGAGTAGGGATAAAGTTTTTGTGTACACCCTCCAGAGAACCTACAATTAGTGGAATTTTACTAATGTTGTTATTATTGTAGTTTAAGCAACGCCTTGAAAAATATACTCCAACCGTCCCAAATTAGTTGTCCTCTAATCTCTTTTAAAATGATTTTATTTACAAATAGGTATGAAAATCATGTGTTGTATATAGTGGGTTTTTATCTTTCTAACTTTTAGTTTACTAAAAACCAGATTCAGAAACTGGAAAAAAAAGGTTTGCAGTTTACTGCTGGTTTTTTCAAAATCAATATTACTAAAGCACGAGTTGATTTGGTTCATTATACAATGTATGTAATGCAACTCTCAAAATTGTAAAACAAAACGCTAAGACGAGTGACAACCACACTGAAAGAAAGCTATCTGTGCTACATAGATTTCAAAAATCTCAAATCATACCGAAAAGGGACTAAAAACGAAGGTGTAGTTTGGCAGACCATAACATGTAATCTTAATGTAATCGAAGTGTAGTTTGGTAGGACACAGAGATTAGAGATGCAGTGTAATGAAAAAGCATCTGCAATGTAAATTTACACAAAACATATTTGAGTAATTTGCATAACAAAGGCATTCTCATAGCATTTCAATTCATCACGTCACCAAACTACACTTTACATTCTAGACTTCTAGATGAAAACTATTTTGTGGACCGCAAAACTGGTGTATCCGTGTATGAACTAGGAAGCTTAAATTGGAATCCATTTTCCACAAGAATATTAATCTCAATGGTATTATGATGCCAAATCTAAGCTTTGGAAAGGTGGTGGTGGCTGGTGGGAGGAGAGATACTCACTCTCTCTGGCACCAGAATTATAAATGAAAGAGCAGCGTGGTGAGAGTAGCTTGGTGGTTCCCCCCCTTACCCCAACTCGCCCTTCAAAGTATGAAATCCCATCCCACCCAAAAATAAAGGATCAGAAATTTACCCGGCAAAATCTTTCAGCCTTTTCCAGATGTCCTCATTATCTTCTGATTCATCACCTTTCTTTGATGTTGAACCAGAACCATGTTGCATCTCTGTACTTCTAGCTACAAAACAAAGGAACTTTTTGAATTTTGATACTCCCACTTAAAGCCAGCAAAATTTTCTGGCCCAAACACAGATGACCAAACCCAAAATGATCCGCTAAATCTATGTCAAACCCTACCAAACCCGAACACGAGCTCCTAAGGCAAGGTTTTTCCAAAATCATGCAATTTAGTTTAAAATATAATGTGATAAACATATTGTTATAATATTATGTTTTTCTTATTACTCCCTTTTAAGTGCATAAATCTATCTTTTCAAACAAAATTTATTGATATCATATTGTTATCTTACTTTTTTCAAACACTATCTTTTTAGTTTTTATACTCCGTATTATTTTTAATTTTGTTGTATATATCTAAATATTAATTTAAATTCAAAAGGAAACATTATAATAGTTTTAAAGTTTTTATACTCTGTATTTCTCATGTAAAATGCAAGTGCTAGCATAAATTTAAATGCTCTTAAACTAAATGCCTATAACTTGTTGGGTCGACTCGAGCAGGATGACACTCTATCATAAACATGCATTTATTGACCCCAACCCGATGTAACCTGAACCCGGCCTGGCCTACCTGTTTGCCCCCCAAAATAGTCTTTCCATTTCCCTTTTCATTCATCCCAATATTCTCACATTTCATTTTAGGGATAGTACAAGGTTCATGTTGTTTCTCTCTCTCTCTAAGTAAATTTAGATTCTAGACCACTCACTATTCATTTTATTGATCTCCACAGTCCATACACGGTAAAGTGGACTTTTCTTCATCTCCATAATCCTATACACGGTATTATCATATCCTTTATGGTTATCGTGTCTCTAGTAGAACCTAAGTTGGTGCTTATAGCTTCATTAAGACTTCACATAAGCTATCAGTCCAGTTTGGTGAATAAAGCAAAAGCATAAAATAAGATAATTTAAAAAAACTATGTTCTACACCCTCAGTCACAATTTGTTGTGTGCGACTGACGACTGTGCACTTTGACTAGGCACAACTGTACGAGAAATTTGAGGATTATTAGATTGAAAATCGAGTGTTAAGGTTAATGCAAAGGAAAGAGAAGCACTATGAATCACAACACATGCACAATAAATTGGGAAGGACCATAAAGGAAAACAAGCATAATAAATTAGGATGGATTATAACTTTTCAACAAGCCGTAAGCTTTTTTTTCTACTAATAACCCTATCCATCCACACAAAAAAACATCATCAACAATCTATAATCAACAAAAAGTCATTTGCTTATTTTAACAAACACTTCCGACACCAATCCAAGCTTTTGGTCTTCAGCTCCTAGTTATAGTCTTTCACCAACTTTGCTGCTTTTAGATGGCTTTTAGTTTTGTGTAGCAAATAGGCCCTTAAATAGCTTAACAGCTTATTACATAGAACTTACATCCATTACTTCATGTCCCGTTGGGTTTTTGTATCTCTCCTTTTTTTGTATTGTCTAAAAATACTTTTCCATGTTCCAACTTTTCAATTTTGAAAAAATGTGTGGTTCGCATGTATTCTCTTTCTTCTCAATAAATTCAACCTAATAGTTTTGACATTTCTTAATCTCCGTGCTCAAACAAGTTGCAAAATCCCCAAAGGAATGAAGGGAGTATAAAACTATATGTAGACATGTGAATTCAAAATTCTGTTCATGATATCATCAAGTTCCACTAAAATCTAAATCCTAATTCCTACAATTAAAAAATTCCGCAAACACGTCATCCTTCTGACCATGATTCTCTTCCCCTTTCCTTTTCTACCCGTCCAAAGATTGTCTGCTTGTTTCCCTTCAAGGAATGAATTGTGTGGTTGATATTGTTTCTTTCTTTTCTAAATAAATCTCAAGAACACAATTTCATTTTCTTAATAAACGTGCTCTAAGGAAACTGGAAGATTATATGACAGAGGGCGCATAAATTGTAAGTTGAAAAAAACAAGAAATATTAGAGGAAAAAGCAAAAAAATCTTAAAAAGTAAATTGCAATTACTTAAAATAATTCATGAATATTAAAGAAATCACACATACCGGCTTGCTGAATTTTGGTCTGAGATTTAGTCCGAGACACCGTGCTGCCACTCAAAGAAGCAAGTTCTTCAAGCAACTCACGTTCCTTTGCACTGCATATAGAATGATTTTTTAAGGTAAGCCTTAGGGAAACTCTCCAGTCTCCAGAAATACAACTTCATGTTCAAAAGAATATGAGCAAGCTATGCATACCTTATGTATTTTGGTATGCTG